GTATAGATATGACATTTTGTTTAACCATTCATCAGTTGATGGACTTTGGGTTTCCACATTTTGGTTATGAATAATGCTGCTACAAATACTCATGTACAAGCCTTTGTGTGGACATATGTTTGCATTCTCTTGGGTGTATATACCTCTATCACATGTCTTATTTATTTGGTTAATTCACGGCTGCGTCATGATAACCCTATGTTCAACATTTTAAGGAACTGCCAAACTTTCCCAAGTGAACAGGGTTGGATCTTTATTTTAAACATTTTAAATACTTGTGATCATTTTAAGTAATAGTTTAGTTTGAAAATGACTACTTTTACAGCTTGTGCAATATAAAATGGCTGTACCCTGAGGCTGTTCAGAACGATATACACTGGATTTTGTCACATGTGTGCCCAGGGTAGGAGAAAATGAAATTTAAATTCTACCATTTTTAATTTCTGTTCGTGTATGGTTTTGTTTGTTTTTTGTTTTTGAGACAGAGTCTTGCTCTATCGCCCAGGCTGGAGTACAGTGGCGCAATCTCGGCTCACTGCAACCTCCACTTCCTGGGTTCAAGAGATTCTCCTGCCTCAGCCTCCCAAGTAGCTGGGATTACAGGAGCTCACCACCACACCTGACAAATTTTTGTATTTCTAGTAGAGACAGGGTTTTGCCATGTTGGACAGGCTGGTCTCAAACTCCTGACCTCAGGTGATCCATCCGCCACAGCCTCCCAAGGTGCTGGCATCACAGGCATGAGCCACCACACCAGGCCTATTTGTGTATTTCAAAGGCACATATTGTACTCATATATTAGTTAACTCATATAATTTTTTAAAATTACAAAGTTAATAAAGCAGCTCAAGTTTGAGGGAGTTTTAAAAAATTACTAATTTTTAAAAAATCACAATATCGCTATCAAGTGGCTGCATTGACTGGCAACTAATATTGCAGCTTGCGTGGGAAGCCTTTAGAGCTTATACAAATTGCTGGACTGAAATGACAAGGACCCCAGGAGCCTCCTGAACTCTTCAGTCTTTTTTCCTTGGTTCCATAAGATGCTTCTTCCCAACCAGGGCAACCCAGCAAGTCCTCAAAGAAAATTGAAATGTAAATGAACATGCTTAAGTAGAGAAAAAGCTTAAGGGAGGCTTCTGTTCTTCCATTCACACATTAACTCCTGCTCATTCTTTTAACACTCCCTTAGGCATCCCTGCTCCCACCTTCCCAGTCACCCTGTCCAATCCTCAACCCACATCCTCAAATGAGGGTGGCTGCCTCTCCTATGTGTGCCCATAAAAACCCATATTTCTATCTAAGCACTTAGTAAACAGCATTGACATTGTTTTCTCTGTATCCGTGTCACCAGAGAGTGATCCCATTGTGGGCAGGACTCAGTTTTATTCATCTCTCTGTCATGGCTCCAAGCACTCTCTCTTAATGGAGAGAGTACACAGTATCTCCTAATTAACCAGTGAATGACTTTTCAAAATAATGACATTCTGCCTCAAGTAGGCCAGACATACAGCAACCCCTCACAGCCAAATTGGGAAATGGTGGTTCATCATATACAAAGACTGATAGAATGAAGTGTGAAAGAAAAATAAAATGTCAGACCCCAGGCTGGGCGCAGTGGCTCACACCTGTAATCCTAGCACTTTGGGAGGGGGATCACCTGAGGTCGGGAGTTCGAGACCAGCCTGACCATAGAGAAACCCTGTCTCTACTAAAAATACAAAAATTAGCCGGGCATGGTGAAACGTGCCTATAATCCCAGCTACTCGGGAGGCTGAGGCAGGAGAATCACTTGAACCTGGGAGGCGGAGGTTGTGGTGAGCCGAGATCACGTCATTGCACTGCAGCCTGGGCAACAAGAGTGAAACTCCATCTCAACCACAACAACAAAAAAGGGAGACCCCAAACTTACTATGCCAAAGGGAAAAGTGAAGCTTGGAAACTCAATCATGCAAAAAAACTGCCTTTCCTTTTGCCTAAACACAGCTGCAAGATAGAAGGTTACATATCTCCTCAGTTGGTCTCCCTTACTTTGACAATGTAAACAGCTTATCTTCACAGATACAGCACAAAGACAAGACTAGAAACCATCCCTCTGCCCACCCCAGACATTCGCAGATGTGCTGAGTCCAGACAAATACATAATTGACTGTTCCTCTACCCCACTTCACATGTAACGTGGATTCAGTGAGTACTAATCAAAGCCTCATAAGAATATGACCACCTAACTCACTACCTACACTCCTTTTTGTTTTTTTCCTCTACCCCTAGCCCTCCTACCCTCACTTTCCCCTTTAAATACTGAAGCCTTCAAAATCCTCTTTAGAAAAAGTGCGGGCCACAGATCCTACTATGACTCGTGTCTTCTTCCCGTGTGTCCTCGACCTTGGCAAAATAAGCCTCTAAACTGACTGAGACCTGTCTCAGATACTTTTTATTTCACAAAAGTATTCACCACTCAGTGAGTCACAATGATAACAGCTTAACATATATTCATTTACACCTAAGAACTACCCTATAGGATATGTACAATTGTTAACCCTAATGTACAGATGAGGAAACTAAATCTTGAGAGATTCATGACTTGCCTGAGGTCACACAGAAAGTAGAGGAGTCAGGAGTTGAATGAGTGGAATCTAAATTCTATGAAGGCATTTGGGAGGCCAAGGTAGGTGGATGACCTGAGGTCAGGAGTTCGAGACCAGCCTGGCTAACATGGTGAAACCCTGTCTCTACCAAAAATACAAAAATTAGCCAGGCATGGTGGCAGATACCTTAATCCCAGCTACTCAGGAGGCTGAGGCAGGAGAATTGCTTGAATCTGGGAGGTGGAGGTTGGAGTGAGCTGAGATCGCTCCACTGCACGCCACCCTGGGCGACAGAGTGAGACTCCATCTCCAAAAAATAAAAATAAATAAATTATATGAAGGCAGAGCCATGTCAGTCTTTCATCACTGCACACACAGGGCCCATATATGTTTACATTTTATATATATTATATATATATGAGAGACGGAGAGCACAAGCATGCAGGAGTCCAACAACTGTTGGTCGAATGAATTCAACTGGCCACACCTGACATCAGCTATCTATCCAGCGCTTATAGCAAAAAGGCAAATCCTCAGTCCCCAGACTGACTCTCTGGCTCATCTTCCCCATTGTTTCTCCTTGTTCCCTTCCCATATTGGCTTAACCTCCAGGTTGCTATCTTTAGCATTAATTTGAGGACAGCAAGCCATGGGCCCACAAGTGAGGAAAAACCCATTATGTAAAAGAGGAGATGATTGGCTGGGCATGGTGGCTCATGCCTGTAATCTCAGCACTTTGGGAGGCCGAGCCGGGCACATCACGAGGTCAGGAGATCGAGACAATCCTCACTAATTCGGTGAAACCCATCTCTACTAAAATACAAAAAAATTAGCCAGGTGTGTTGGCACATGCCTGTAGTCCCAGCTACTTGGGAGGTTCAGGCAGGAGAATCACTTGAACCCAGGAGGCAGAGGTTTCAGTGGGCAGAGATTGCGCCACTGCACTCCAGCCTGGGTGACAGAGCGAGACTCTGTTTCGAAAAAAAAAAAAAAAAAACAAGAAACAAGAGAAGATGATTAAGGTAACACAGGAAGGCCACTCTGTGAGATGGGAATGGAAATAAGCAGGCTGTTGGCTTTTGTGGTGGGATCACATGCTGGCTAACATCTAGTGCTTTTTAATCCTTACAACAGCCCCCATCTTCAACACATCTCTCACTGCTTCCTCTATTCCAAACTTACCTAATGACAACATACCATTTTCTGAGGATTCAAACTTTTGTATCTGTTATTCTCTTCTACTAGTGCCTGTTTCTACCTGCAACCTGCCCATCAAAATCTTACCCAGTTTTCATGAGCCAATTCAAACACTACCTCTGAAGACTTCCCTATTCAGTTCTGAGAACTCTTCTTTCCCATCTTTGCATTCCTACAACATGCTACCACTTCCATGGCACCTATCTTACTGCACTCCAAGTCTTTCTTTGAGTACCTTTGTTATTTTGGCTGCTAGGTTGTGGGTTCCTCAGAGACAGGAACTCTATCTAATGGATCATTATGTTTCCTGTGGCTTCTGTATATAATAGGCACTTAATATTTGTTGGATAACACAAACAGCACCAACCTGTCCTTACTGCTACTGTTGCAAGAGAAAGATGAGTAGCCATGCCCAAATCCAGTCAGCCAAATGTCAGGTACAATCATATAAGGCCACACTTTTCTATATTTCCTTCACCTAGCAAATCAGCCTAGATAGCTTTAAAATACACCAAAACAAAGTGGTAATCAACAATCTGAGTGGTAATCAACAATTAGTCACCCAGGGCCATGCGTGGTGGCTCACACCTGTAATCCCAGCACTTTGGGAGGTCGAGGTGGGCAGATCACTTGAGGTCAGGAGTTCCAAAACAGCCTGGCCAACTGGTGAAACTCCATCTCTACTAAAAATACAAAAATTACCTGGGCATGGTGGTGCACACCTGTAATCCCAGCTACTTGGGAGGCTGAGGCTTGAGAATCGCTTGAGCCTGGGAGACAGAGGTTGCAGTGAGCTGAGATAGTGCCACTGCACTCCAGCCTGGGTGACAGAGCAAGACTCTGTCTCAAAAAAACAAAAAAGCAAACAAACAAACAAAAAACAACGAACAATTAGTCACTCCAATGGCAAACCATCTTTTATGGCAGACAGCCATAAAATAAGGTGAGGCTGGAAATGCTCTGCAGAATATTTCACATTCCCTATAGCTTCTTAGGTTGTCCCTCGTGTTCTCAGCCACGGTAGGAAGATGAAGAGGGAGTATGAGGCCTATACAAATCTAAGATTTTAATAGGAACTTTAATAGCTATTAATTGGCAGCTATTGCACAAGCTTGAGGCTAGAAATCTAGATTCCCTATGATTTAGAACAGTGATTCATCCTCAGCAGATGAGCTTTTAAAAAAAAGAAAAATAGACTGGTGATTCTTAACCATATTTCTACCACAACAAATCAAATTTATAAGACATCCCCCCACAATCATTTAGGAATGCCACAGTAAGGGAATGTAAATACACTAAAATATTTTTTGTTCCCTTCTCTCTCTAATTTAGTCATAATAACAAAGCACCATCATGTTAAGGACTTAATTCTGATTCCATTGCTTGGTCTGTCAATTTTATTTATCATATCCATCTACGTCCCATTACCACCACCCTAGTCCAAGTTACCATCACCTCAGACCTAGACAACCACAGAAGCCTCCTCACTGGTCTCCCTGTTTCCATCTTGGCCCTCCTCCAGTCAATTTTCTATATGGTAGCCAGAGCAATTTGGAAAAAGTACTGTGTCTTTCACTCTTAAAATAATCAATGTCCTGTGTATAACTGCTTAATAAATAGCGATGTGAGACAATTCAAAGAAACTCTCCTTTTGCAAATAACAAAACCCGAGGCCAAAACATACTGAAACTTCAATTCCAGAACTGAGGTCAGAATTTGGAATTCATAATTGCACAACTGAGCCTCATTTCAGTGGGCCATGCTGCTTCTCCCAAATAGGTATTTCATTTTCTATGTTATCAATGGAAGACAAATGAAATAATTTGAATTGATCTAGAGCCTGCTTTCAGGGCTACAAAATATGAAAAAAACTGATCACCAGGGGACAAAAGGGATGACAACCTCGACTGAACTGATACAGTAAGGACCACTCGCACATGGATCCCATGTGTCCCAGGGTCCACCTCCTCTAGCCAACTGAAGGACAGGGGCAGCATTCCAGATCCAGGACTATGTGATCCACATGGGGAGCGTAGGATTTCACTGGTTGGATGTGCAGAATTTGTGTCTTCCACGGTTTCCCATGCACCTGCTGAAGAAGAGTGGCGATTCGAGTTTCTGCAGATTCTGCCCACCTTTGCCACTCTGGCTTGGTGGCTGGTGACAACATTTTTCCCCTAGTATCCCTGGTAGCTCCATTTTTCCATTGGTTGGTGGTAATTTGCTGAGGATACAGCCAATGTTCTTTCTCTGTTTTGCTGACTTCAAGAGGCTGAAGATTCTTCCCTGGGAAAGATTCCACATTTTGGTGGATATGCAAAATGCCTCCAGCATCTTGCCGTAACACTTGGCAGGCAATGGGCCAGCCTTCTTCAGAGCTGGGAATCAGCCCCAGAATCACCCTATCTGCAATATTTGAGAGCTTCAGTTTTCTGTTATCTCCAAAGTGTATTTGGCACCGATCTGCTACTCCATTGATCTCAAGGTTATTTCTCAGAGCAACTACAGCATGGGGATTCCACTCACAAGCATGGACGAAGGCAGCACCAGCATGAACTAGGAAAGGCAACGTAAAATAACCAATCCCTGCATAGAGATCCACCAGCACTTCTCCAGCACAGGACAAGGATGCCACGCGAAGCTTCTCAGTGATGTTTCCGAAGGAGAACATACACTGGGTCACGTCAAACTTATAAAGGATACCATTATCCACATGCTCTACCCAGCCATGGTCACCCAGCAGCAGTGTCACTGCAGGAGTTCGAGTGCCATCCGGTGATACCCGCCCGCGTTTTGCCAAACGCTGGACGCCAAGTGCGGAGGCAACGGTCTCCCAGAGTTCCGGTCCCAGATTTTTCCACTGATTGGCTTGGAAACAGTCTTCACTCAGCAACAAGAGATTACCATGCCGTTGCCATGATCGGGGCAAATCAGCCTCCAACTCGGCTGACCACTTGACTCCCCGGCCCTCCACCCAGCGACTCACCTCCAGACACAATTTTTGGGCAGGTGAACAACCCTGGGCCCTCTTTGAAGGAACAGGATCCGGGAGCCGCGTCAGCATACAGGCACTGCCTGGGGCAACACGATTTCTCAGCTCCTGCAGGTGCTGCTCTGGAAGCGTCTCTCCCAGCACTGGTAGCGCCACCCAGCCATCCGGCATCTTTTCCACACGGTGCTGTGTATCAAAGAGTTTCTGCCTCTCGAGATATTCTCTGTATCGCTGGGTAAACCGAGGCTCAGTCACAACTGCGACAACAGCCACGGGCTTCCCACTTTCTCTCTCCATGTTGCTAACGACCACATTCTCTCCCATCACCTCAGGGATACTCCATCTCCTCAGAGTGGGCTCACCAGGCTGATTAAATTCTGAGTCTTAATAAGGCAGCCGGCCGCTCACCACGCCATGCCGGTGCCGGAAATGACGTGCAAAGAGGCAGGCACTAAATGTATCGATGCGATTGCTGCAGAATGGCGTCGGGTTGCCGGGGAGAAGCTGCGGCCGCCATCTTTCTTATGGTCAACCATTACTTTTTTTCAGCCGAGGAGGAAATTTATAACAGGGAATCTTATGGACTAAAAGACTTCAAATTGGTATTTTCCAGAAACCTCATGCACTCTCTTCAGTGCTGCTCATGAATTCAAAGAGAAAAATGAACATGAAATTGTCAGAGGCGCGTGAGCCAGAGCAACTCCATCTTAAATAGGAGCTAGGTAAAATGAGGCTGAAACCTACTGGGCAGCATTCCCAAATGGTTAATGCATTCTAAGTCACCGAATGAGATAGGAGGTCGGCACAAAATACGGGTCATAAAGACCTTGCTGATAAAACAGGTTGCAGTGAAGGAGCGGCCAAAACCCACCAAAACCAAAACAGCCAGGAGAGTGACCTCTGGTCGTGCTCACTGCTGCACTCCCACCAGCGCCATGACAGTTTACAAATGCCATGGAAACGTCAGGAAGTTACCCTATATGGTCTAAAAAGGGGAGGCATGAATAATGCATCCCTCGTTTAGCATATCATCTAGAAATAACCATAAAAATGGGCAACAAGCAGCCCTCATGGCTGCTCTGTCTATAGAGCAGCCATGCTTTTATTCCTTCACTTTCTTAATAAACTTGCTTTCACTTTGCACGCAGACTTGTCCTGAATTCTTTCTTGCATGAGATCCAGGGACCCCCTGTTGTAGTGGATTGGGACCCCTTTCCTGTAACAAAATGATTATTTGAATTTGGAGAAAGCTTTCCCATAGCCTAATGCTGCGCTCAGGTTAGCATCAGCAGCCACCTTATTTGCTGAAAGTGAAGAGTCAGACAGCTTCTTTGTTCCCTTTTCATGCAGATATAGTCATCACCATTTCACTGTCCTTTGGTCCAAGAAACAACTATTTGAAAGTCAGAAGGATCTGAGTTCCAATAAATCATATCACCCCTCAAAATTGTAATCTTCACTTATAAAATGGAATCTAATCTTCAGAAGATTGCTATAGTGAATAGAGATGTTATAGTGCCTCAGACAATAACTAGTAAAGAGTAGGTACTTAAAAAGATACAAAGTAACAAGTTGGCTAGCTCACAGGTACTAAATACCTGTTGAAATGCTTCGATATGCCTAAAGAAGACAAAGGGGAATTCCCTATAGACTAAATCAAATAGTTGGATATAAGAACTGTAAAGAAACCCTATCACTTCTACTTCACTCCCACTGTCAGAGGAGTCCAAACCAGAGTGACTCCATCTTGAATAAAATCTAAATAAAGCAAAACCTGCTGGGTTACATTCCCAGAAAGTTAAGTATTCTCCATCATAAGACTGAGGCAGGAGAATAGGCTGTGGAGGCAGGAAACCTAAGGCTGATTCACACTGACTTCCTAGAACTAAATCGAAAGGAAAACCTCAACTTTCTACGCCTAAGTAACAAAAAGGACCAGACGTTACTCCCTTTGCAAACCTGCTTTTCTGCAGGGCAAATGGAAAATTGAAAGTACCTCTGATTGGTTGCAGAAAGCCACCAATCAATCCAAATACCCACTAGAGGTTTCCCATTGACCACTTGGTGTGCACTCCATGCAAATGAAATAATGACCTGCAATCAGACGTTTGCATAGAAGTGCAACTTTGTAACTTCACTTCAGCCTCTGATTGAAGGCCACTACTTCACTTGCATGGGGTGAACACCAGGTCACCAATGGGAAACCTCTAGTGGGTATTTGGACCCCAGAAGATTCTGTAACCTGGCTATTGAGCCCCTAGATAGGGGCTGCTCCCATCCTGTGGAGTGTACTTTCATTTTCAATAAATCTGGTTTCGTTGCTTCATTCTTTCGTTGGTTTGTACATTTTGTCCAATTCTTTGTTCAAGATGCCATGAACCTGGACACCCTCTACCCGTAACAAGACCTTTTGGTTGAGGGAACAAGCTAATGATTCTTACTCACTAAACAAGACCCAGAACTTAAGGAAATGTCCTGATGTCCTGATATCTTGAGAACAGAAAGCATTCTTAGTTTAAGAATAGGTTTCTCTTCAAAGATAATAATATATTCATAACTTTTTGCTGAAATCAATAGTTACACAGAGAATAACACCACTAATACTCTGTCACAAGCGGATCACAAGCTGTTGTACTAAAGCACATGAGACCATTATTCTTAGCTAGCTACATAATTTTTGGTGTGGGGTCCTCCTCTTGCTTTCTGAGAACACCCTACTCTGTAATAGAGTAGTCTTTAATAAACTTGCTTCTTTCACTGTGCTCTGTGACTGGCCCTAAATTCTTTCCCGCCTGAGATCCAAGAACCTGCTTTTTGGGTCTGGAACAAAATTCCTTTTAAGTAACATTTCCTGTGGCAGCTTCCAAGGACTTTATTGAGGTGAGACTTTCAACCCAAAAGAAATAGACTGCGCAGCACCACCTGACTGACTTTGGGTAAGCAGGGGAATATATTTTTATACCGATGAAGGACAAGGACTTATCTAAGATTGGGTTTGAGGCCTACTTGGGAGGGTTAAAGGCCCCTCACAGCTGAAAATGGGTTCAGCACAATGGGATGTTAACCATTATTCACTGTGGATCTGTCCTCCTTGTGCTCTCTGTAAGAGCTTTCCAAAGGCTGCCACTTGCCAGTTTCCTGATTGCTTTCTCCGCTCTACTGCTGCTTTATGAGAGAGGTCTCGTTGAACCGGTCCTGAGGTTTTTAACTTTCCTTTTCCTTGTTTGCCTTTGGGTTATGGGCCATTTGCCTGTCTGTTCTGGCATGTTGCTAGAAGACACTGGGGACAAATGACTCTGCAATATTTACTTTCTCTAGATCTAGACCACTTAAATGAATTGTTTATTGTCTCTCCTTTTCTGCAAAGATTATCTGGAATTTCGCATTTACAAGTTTTAAATGAAAAGGTCTAATGTGAAAGATTAAGCCTGGCAGTAATTATACCAGTCCCCTGTAGGTGAACTGCTCCAGGATGGAAAACCGGAGATTGCTTTTCAGCAGTTCTTTTTCATCTCCTTACTAATGGAATGACTTTTGCTTTTTGGTTACAAATGGCAAGGCCATGTGAATCTTGTCCTGCTTGCCACTACTAACCTGAACTTGGACATTCCTTTGTAGACCTTTGTCGTTTCCCTTCCCTAGTGAAACATTTCTTTTTCTGAGTCCCCTATTGTGGTCTTTACTTTTGATTACCTAATAATCATTTGGTTTCTGTGTCAACTTGGACAATTCTTCCCCGTGGGTTTAGGGACAGCCTTTACTTTCTTCCTTTATGTGGCTGAGAAACAAAGAACAGCCCTGAGTGTTCTTGTCTAGAAACAGGGATACATCCCTTGACAGATGGCATATTTTTCTAACCAATTGGCCATGTGGCTTCAGGATGACTCAGATGTTTCAGGGAAGTTGCAACAACTGCTCTTCTCATAGATGAAGACAATAAATTAACTTTGGGACAACATCTGGAGGTTTTGACCCCACACCAAATAACAAGAGGCCCTGGAAGCTAAATGGCACCAATAGATGAGTAGGGGGTAGTTATTAAAGTATCAGGCTTTCTCGCTAAATACTCTTGATATAACTCTTAAAGTATAACAGAAGAACTTAATCCTGGCGACCTATCTACTTGGATCCACAGGCACCCTAGATCATTCATGTACACAAGCTATGGAACAAATTTACTCCAGCTGGCCAGATTTAAAAGATGGGCTACTGGGGCCGGTGTAGTGGCTCACACTTGTAATCCCAGCACTTTGGGAGGCTGAGGCAGGCAGATCACTTGAGGTCAGGAGTTCCAGAACAGCCTGGCCAACATGGTGAAACCCCATCTCTACTAAAAATACAAAAATTAGCTGGGCATGGTGGTGTACACTTGTACTCCCAACTACTCGGGAGGCTGAGGGAGGAGAATCACTTGAACCCAGGAGGCAGAGGTTGCAGCGAGTCAAGATTGTGCCACTGCACTCCAGCCTAGAGACAGAGCGAGACTCCGTCTCAAAAAATAATAATAATTTAAAAAAAGAATTAACACGTACATAAACTCCAAGTATGGCTTCCTGGTGTTCACGCTCATGCTGCTATTTGGAAATAATGGGGACTCTTTAACTGTTAAGGGCTCCCCTATAGAACATTATTTCGGAATTTTAAATCTACTAGATGCTTCCTCGCTGCCTAAAGAAGTTGCTGTGATTCACTGCAGGGGACATCAAAAGGAAAACTCCAAAATAGGCCACGTGCGGTGGCTCACGCCTGTAATCCCAGCACTTTGGGGGGCCGAGGCGGGCGGATCATGAGGTCAGGAGTTGGAGACCAGGCTTGCCAACAGGGTGAAACCTCGTCTCTACTAAAAATACAAAAATTAGTCCAGTGTGGTGGTGCATTCCTGTAATCCCAGCTACCTGGGAGGCTAAGGCAGGATAATTGCTTGAACCAGAGCAGTGGAGGTTGCAGTGAGCCCGAGATAGTGCCATTGCACTCCAGCCTGGGCAACTTGAGCAATGCTCCATCTCAAATAAAAAAAAAAGAAAGAAAGAAAAGAAAAAAGAAAAAAAAGAAAAGAAAACTCTAAAATAATAAAAGGGCATTTTTCTTTTATTTTGTAGATGCTACAGCTGAGACAGCTGCATTTGAGGGAACCAGTTAATCTGGTAGGCATGTTGGTGCCCACTGCCTTGGTGACGATAAAGCTAGAGCATGGTTAATACTAGAAAAGAATAAAAATGGGCTAAAACCCATGAGTTAACTCCAAACACTTCCAGATGGCTGATGCAAATGACAGATGATATGTCCCAAGGGCTGATCAATGGAAAATAGTTAAGTATTGGCATGGCTCTACTCATTTGGGAAGAGATTTCTCATTTCAATTAATATGGCTCATCTGTTTATAGGAAAATACTTTTTTTTTTTTTTTTTTTGAGATAGGGTCTTACTCTGTCACCCAGGCTGGAGTGCAGTGGTGCGATCTCAGCTCACTGCAACCTCTGCTTCCCAGGTTCAAGCAATTCTCTGCCTAAGCCTCCCGAGTAGCTGGGATTACAGGCGTCTGCCACCACGCCCAGCTAATTTTTGTATTTTTAGTAGAGACGGGGTTTCACCATGTTGGCCAGGCTGGCTTTGAACTCCTGACCTTGTGATCCACCCACCTCGGCCTCCCAAAGTGCTGGGGATTACAGGAGTGAGCCACCGCGCCTGGCCGAAAAGACTTTCTTAGAACAGTAAAACAAGTGACTTGGGCCTGTGAATTGTGTGCCCCCCTAAAATCTCAAAGAACCAACCTTTACCTACTCCACTAATAAAGCCTGTTCAGCATAGGGGATCATACCCAGAAGAAGATTAGCA